AGGATATGTGTAGGACAGTGGTAGTCAACCTGGTCCCTACCGCCCACTAGTGGGCATTCCAGCTTACATCGTGGGCGGTAGGGGTTTTGTCCCCTACTTTATAAATCACCATTACTGTGGATCTGATGGGCGGTTAGAGAAAATTTTACTACTAACAGAGATACAAAAGTGGGGGGTGGGTATAAAAAGGTTGACTACCCCTGGTATAGGAGATACTACGTTATCCTCACCCAAAAGGAACTGGTTAATGATCTATTGTATTACAGGTGGTCATAACAGGACCATAACAGGAAGAAGAAGCCATGAGAACGAGGGTAGTTTCCAAGGGCAAGGAAACAGGTGTTACGCTACAATAATATGGGTGTTGCGTAGGGAGATACGTAGCTTGGATAGATTGTGAACCCAGGAAAGGGGCAGAGACTGTATATTTGAACCTGTATATAAACCCCAGCCATGAGCAGAATTCCCTTTTGCAAAAGCTTAATAAAGCTCTTCTATATTGTTCACGTGTCTCCAGTTGTTTTGTGATTACTATCACAGCCAGCTATGTGGTGTTTTTTTTTGGGGGGGGGGTTTCTTAAAAGCGAGCAATTCTTGTTCCTATTATACTGGCAGGGGATTTCTAACCAGTTGGGTGCCAACTTCTGCCTCTCTACGCACCTGCAACTCCACCCGCTTCCTATTGCAGAGCAGCTCAAGGCAGCACACAGAGAGAGAAGACAGGACGGAGCAAAGCTGCTTAACTGTCTGATTTAAGGCAAAAAGATGCTTTTTTTAAAAATCAGAATTCATATTCCTCACTCACGTGTCCTTTCCATCCACACCTGGGCCCTACCTCCACCTATGACCCTTCCTCTGATCCCCAGAGGGATTGGCTCAGAGGGGGCATTCAGCCGGTTCTGACCAGTTCTGGAGAACCGGTAGCAGAAATTTTGAGTCATTCGGAGAACCAGAAAATCCCACCTCTGACTGGCCCCGCTCCCTCCTATTCTCTGCCTCCCATTGAGTCCCAGCTGATCGGCTGAATCTTCTTTGGTTGCCCTGCAGAGGAGAACGGAGCTGGAAAGCAGGTTAGTGGGGTGGGGAGGGAAGGGGGATTTTGCAGTAACTTTCCCCTGCTACAGCCACCAAGCCACGCCCACCAAGCCACGCCCACAGTAGTAAAAAAAAAATCGAATCCCGCCACTGGGTGGGCTGCTGGGGGATCGCAGGGTTTTGGGAGAGCCCCTAACTAAAATTCTGTGCAGTTCAGAAAATGCCCAAATCCAGGGGTGGGAATCTACCTGGTCAGACCGGTTTTATAGAACAGGTGGTTACGATTCTGTGCAGTTCGGAGAACCAGCAAATCGCGCCACTGGCTATCCCCTCCCCACCCCACCCACTAACTCCTTACCTGGCATGCGTGCCATGAAACTTGCCTGCATTGTGCCTTCACCTAATTTTTGGTAAGATGCTATTTTTCCTCCCCCGCCCAACTATCAGCTCTTCTGCTGTGCCGGGAGATTTAGATTATCTAGAAAGCAGGAAATGGTTGGATTTCTTGCTTTCTAGCTAATCTAAAAGCAGAACTGAGCTTTTCCTTAGGACCGAAGCTTCTATTTTTCAGTGCAGACTTGGGTAGCAGATTGCAGAAAGGTAGATCTCTGAGTGAATCTGTGATTTTGCGAGAAACTCAATCTGCCTGCCTGCTTTGCCTGATTTTGGGTAAAAGTTGCTCTTTTTTTAAATAAAAAAAATCAATATTTACATACATGGTGTGTTGTGAGTTAATTTTGTGAGTTTGCTTGCTAGCAAATGTTATGAGTTTGCAAGCAAATTTTATGAGTTTGCAAGCAAATTTTATGTGACAGACTCAGGTAGCAGATTGCAGAATGCTAGATCTCTGAGTGAATCTGTGATTCTGTGAGCAACTCAATCTGCCTGCCTGCTTTGCCTGCTTTGGGGTAAAAGTTGCTCTTTTTTATATTTTAAAAAAAATATCAATATTTACATTTTTACATACAAGCCATGCCCATCCAGTCACATGACCAAGACACGCCTAGTCAGCAAGCCACACCCACCCAGTCACATGACCACCAAACCACACCCACAAATTAGGCCACGCCCACAGAACTGGTTGTTAAGAAACTTGAATCCCACCCCTGCCCAAATCCCACTTCTGTCTGGCCCTGCCCACCCTGCCCCACTCCTCACAGGAGTCCCCATGCAACCCATTTTTGATGCAGGTGTTGAAAGGCTTTGAAAATGCCTTTCTTATGAGGATTCGATTTTCCTGCTGGGAGAGCTCCGGTGCAAGGATACAGACAACTGCTTGAAAGCTGGATCTTTTTATTTTTCAGGAAGGCGAGAGATAGCAAGAAGTCTGCGTTCCTGGGGCTAGCTAGCTTTGTATGATAAGCCCATGATTTTTTATACCTTTTCTCCTTTTGTGTGTGTGTGCTTGTGTTTGTATTTCTTAATGTTTTGAATCCTGTCAGGGGTTGTCTTCATTTCCGCCGGAGGGTAAACTCCGCAGGGTGGTTTGATTGGATTATCAGTTTCGTCCTAGTCTTTTTTTTTGCTTAATGATTTCTTATATTTGTTTTGTGGCAATCTCCTGTCTGTCTCCTTTGCAATATATTTTGTGTCTTTTGTCTGTTTGTTTTGCTGATTTGGCATGTCTTGTGTTTGTAAGGGTTTTCTTTTCTTGTTTCCTTAGTTTTCTTAATTATTTGGGCTTTTGTCCAAGGGGCTTCTTTAATATCTTTTATTTGATTCCTTTTCCTATGCAAGTTTGTTTTATGGCTGGCTTGATGTTCCCTTTGGGCTTTTCCTGCTTGGGTGACACCACTGTCCTCGTGAAGTTCCCTTTCCACACAGGTAAGTGCAGGGCGCATGTGGAGTCTCAGGGAGGGCAAAATACGGGCCTCCTGGAAGTTTGGGAAGGCCGGAAATGGGACCGTTTTCGGCTTCCAGAGGGCCTCCGGAGTCCGGGGAGATTGTTTTCACCCTCCTGGAGGCTCGAGGAAAGCCTCCGGAGCCTGGGGAGGGCAAAAACGCCCCCCCCCCACCAGCCATAGTGCAGGAGGCCAACTAGGCCACACCCAACATGGCCACGCCCACCCAGCAACCGGGCAGAGAACCGCTTGCTGAAATTTTTGAAGGCCACCCCTGGTCCTCATCTGTACATACGTTCCACCATCTGATCCTTCAGTAGCACGGACGTTAAGTGAATCTGAGTTGGTTTGTCAGCAGGTCGGAAAAGGGGATCGCGTGATACACACACACAGAGGGACACTGCGACAATCATAAATACGAGCCGATTGCCAAGCGTCTAAATATTGATCAGGTGAACAACAGTTGTTAAGTGTGAAAAACGGTTATAAGTCACTTTTCCTTCATTTGCCTTCACTCATAAGTCACCTTTTTTCAGGGCCGTTGTAACTTCAGTCACTAAAGAACGGTTGTAAGTCAAGGAGTAGTCCTCGACAAATAGGCTGAAAAACAGCTTCTATCCCAGGGCAGTAACTCTATTGAATTATACTGTAGAATGCAATATTAATGCAATATCAGGGGTTTTCCATTCAATTGTATAGAATGAGAAGGATGTGTGCTTGTGTTTATTTTCATAGTCATAATGTACACTGAAGATGACTTTCATTGCACGAGGTGCAATGACATAGAGTAAACTAAACTAAACTAAACTAAACTAAACCTAACCCTGTTAGTTGAGCTTTTGTCACTATTTGTAATAATTCAAGGCTCTCAGGATGCCAGAATGACTCAGGGAAGCTTTCACAAAATGATTATGGTTCCGTTACTATGGATATCCCACTGTCTATTATTATTTTTATTTAGTTCTGCTTCTATAGTTTTTAGTTTTTTAATAATTATGCGTTATGTTTTTTTTTTTTGTAACAATTGTTTTATACTTTTATTTTTTGAATTTATATGCTGCCCATCTTATTATCTAGCACTTATTATCAAGCTCTCTGGACAGTTTTACGTATTATTAGGTTATTATAAGCCACCTAGACTTACTTTCCATGAGATGGGTGGCCATATATATATTTGACTAATAAATACACAACATTATACCCCAAACAATTGCCCAACCTAATGTAAAAGGCAAAAGGTTTATCGGGGAAACCACACACACACACAAATTATAACCTACCTCTGTGTCACCTATTAAAAGAGAATTAACAAGCCACCTAGCCAGCAGGCCTTCATTGTGAAAACTACAACAGTTGAATAAACCATGATTCCGTTCACATAGGTTAAATGAGTTGTCTAAGCCTGTTTTTAATTGTTTTATTTATTATTTTAGAATTTTGCACAGCCAGCCAACTCACACAGTGATCCCAGGCGGTATATACAACACTAAAAGTTTTTCTCAACTTTAAGATGGATGAACCTCTTAAGATAGTAGGGCATTCTGGGAATTGAACAAAATGAACTTTCAAAGAAACCCTGGTTTCAATAAAGGAGAATATTTTGTAGCTCAGGGTTGAACTGGGGCCCCTGGGGCCTTCTGAGCTTTTTATTTATTTATTTTTATTTTATTTATTTATTTTTGTCAATTGCTTACAAGATAATAGGTATAAGTAAAAACATAGTTATGAATACATGGATACATATAAGAAAGATAAAAATAAAACAAACAATAGGACAGGGACGGTAGGCACGTTGGTGTGCTTATGCACGCTTGGTTAACCAAACTAGGTAACATCGTGGTGCTGCTGATTTAAACCCTGGTTTAAACTCAGTCAAAATAAACCATATATACCAGCCAGGTCCTGGCTGCGTTGAGTCCTCCCCGCCTGCAGGAGGCAGGGGGCTCCCTTCCACATGCTTTTTCGCCGCTTAGCAATCCCTGCTCAATGAGGAGAAGCCAGAGCAACGAAGCTCGTCTCCCCCACCCGCCCCGCTTCGGCCGCTACGCGCACGCGCCGAAGCGGTTGGCTCGCTCTCTCAGCCGCGACCCGAATGCGCAGGCGCCAGCCTCGACTGACGCATGCGCCGAAGGTTTAAAGGGACCCCCGCCCCCTCTCCATCGGCTGCTGCTTTGGTTCGCGTCTGGGATGGCGACGAGAGCAGCAGCGGCGGCGGCCATGAGCGGATTCGGCGCTGGGGCGTCCTCACTCCAGAGAGGAGGCGGCGGCAGCAGCAGCAGCAGCGGCGGAGAAACGCTGGAAAAAATCGACATGTCTCTGGGTGAGACAGGACGCGGCGGGCGAGTGGGGATAACGGCGAGGGGGAGGGAGTTGCTCGGACCGAACCATGGAGGCACCAGTGGAGGGGGGTGGCTCGGACCGAACCATGTAAATGCTGGCTGAGGGTGCTCGGGCCGTTCCATGGAGACACCGGCAGGGGTGTGCTGGGACCGAACCATGGAGAGACACCAATGGGCTGTGGGGGTGGGGGGCTACGCGGACCGAACCATGGGGACGCTGAAGGGGGATGCCCGAGCCGAACCATGGGGACGCTGGCGAGGGGGTTGTTCGGGCCGAACCATGGGGACGCTAGCTGGGGGGTGCAGAGGGGTTTCCGGGCCAGAGGTGGGCGTGGCCTGAAAGAAGGGGGGGGAGACGGGGGTCTCTGCCCTCGAGGGGGAAGTTTCCTTTTGGGTCCAGCCTTGTCACTTCCTGGTATTGTCTGGCTCGAGGTCAGCTGACTCTGCAATCTGGGATTGCCTGGTGGTCTCCTTTCCAGGGATTAACCTTAGTAGAGCATCACCATATGTGTGTGTGTGTATATATGTGTGCATGTATGTATATCTGCATAATATGTGTGTGTGCATGTATATTCATGTATTTATATATGTGTGTGGTGTGTATATATGTGTGTATATATATGTATATGCATGTACATATGTGTGTGTTGCATACACACATGAATGTGTGTATAGTACAATATATGAGATAAAGTATTAAATTAAGGTAAAACCATAATAAGATTGCCATAATATGGTGCCATAGAGTCTGATGCTCCCCTTAAACTTATATTTGTGTTTGTGTGTATAATGTGTTTTGTTAGTATTTGCATATTGGTGATTGCATGATGTCTGTAGACTGATGCCATATATGCTAAATAAAATAAAAATAATTAACCTTCGTTTTGGGAGAGCAGCCAGAGTTTGCTTGCTACTCCCTGCCCTTAGGTTTGGGTTTTGGATGCTGTGCCTTAGGATGGAAAAGGCCCAGCTGTGGTTTGGGGGAATAAAATTTACCAACATCTATTTGAGTCTTGTTGCTGCTGAAATATATGGTTTAGCCATGGTCTGTAGGTTGTTTGTGCATGGCTAAAAACAGGCTAGACTAACTTTGGTACTTGAGCCTTGGTTTTTTTTTTCCCTGTATGGGGATATCCTACATTTGGGCTTGCACAAATTTAGAATTAGAATTCTTTATTGGCCAAGTGTGATTAGACACACAAGGAATTTGTCTCCTGTGCATAAGCTCTCAGTGTACATACAACAATAGTGATAGATTAGTGGGCCTCTGTTCACACTGAATGTTAAGCTGGGATAGATAAGGGCTTAAAAGTGTGGCATTTCCCCCCCAATGTGTGTATTGTAGATGGTGGTTGGGTTTTCCATAGCAAATTAGATCAAAAATTGCCCCACCTGTATTTTAGTCCAAATTAACAGGTGGTTTACATGGATTGAAAAAGGCTTAGAGAATGAAATAACAGAATGGCTAAAGGAAAAACAGTTGTAAAAAAGCAAAATAGTAGCAAATAAAGCCCAAATGCCTTGTTGGTGGTAGAAAATCAGTTTACTTTAGAAATGTTTCAGGAAGCTTTCTAGGCAGGACAAACAATTAAAAAGTGAAATATTGATTGAAGGCAAGATTTTTTTCAGTAAGAATGTAGAGGGGGAAAAAACTGAAGGGAGATGAGCAATTAGGAATTACGAAATATAACTAAACCTGGCAGTTCTCTTCAAGATTAGGGTTAGGAGCGGTCCCATTTATTTGATTTATATTATTATCTTTATCTTTCCTCCAGGAAGATGACTGCATGCATAGTAGTACCTTCTCCCTTTTTTCACACAACCACAACCTTCTGAAGTAGGTTGGACTGCGAGAGTGACAAGCAAGGGAGTTTTGGGGCCTGGTTGTAGAGGACCACTGAGATGGTTACAGCAACTAGCGGAATCTGGATTAAGCCCTGGAAAGAAGGAAGGTGTTAGAAAGAAAGGGAAGGTTGCCCTGCCTTGATTCTCTTTGGCAGAAGGAGGAGAGAAGTTAAAATGCCCACCATTTTTCAAGATCCTGTTACAAGAGATAGATCAGGGTTGGGTGATTATGGCCCCTTTAGGATGTGTAAATTTCAATTCCCAGAATTCCTGAGCCAGCCATGATTTCCTGTTACGGTCTCATATTGGTATCTTATGATTATATCACTTTGTTGTTTGTATGGAGAGCTTATGCACGAGACAAATTCTTTGTGTGTCCAATCACACTTGGACAATAATGAATTCTGTCCTGTCCTATCCTCCTCCTATCATTCCTATCCTATCCTACTCATTCTAATTCAATTTCTAATTCTAATTTATTCTATTGTAATCCTCTCCCCTATATCCTATGCTGATTTCTATTTCAATATTTCTTATTTCCTAACCTGGCCTGACCCTGAGAGGGAGCTGGACTTTCCTATTCCTGTTTGAATGCCTTGAGCATAGCACCCCTAATTTTCTTGGGGTGATCTCGGCACTGTCAGTTCAGTCCAGAATCTCACGTAAAATTGGTCCTTGGTGCTAAAGTAAATCTGACACACGGTTGTGAGTCAGCTCCAAGGGTTTGCATTGCCTTACACACCTTTTAAAGTTGCCCATGGAAAAGAAATATAACAGTGATTTTGACTATGCAACAATATGTTCCCATTTCCAAATCCCTGCTAACAATCTGGAGCCAATTTTGACTTCAATACCTGCACAGGGTTGGTTCTTCAGGATGGCGTTCAATTCTTAACACAATTTTATTTACTTTTACTATTTTTTAAATCCTGCCTTTATGGCTTTACAAATAAGTCAAGGCACAGAACATATCAAATATATCTTCCTCCTCTTTTTCCTACAACAGCATTGTGATGAGGTGGGGTGAGCTGAGAAGGAATGACTGGCCCAAACCCAAAGCTGGCTTTTATGGCTAAGGTGGGACAAGAACTCACCGTCTCCTGGTAGTTGTTCCAATGTCACACAGCCGGCTTTCATGCCAAAGGCAGAACTAGAACTCACCGTCTCCTGGTGGTTGTTCCAAAGTCACACAGCCGGCTTTCATGGCTAAGGCAGGACTTGAAAGTCGCACATTCTCCCGCCTTCTTGCTTTCTGCCTTAATAAATACTAGACCAAACTTCTCTTCGCAGTCCACAAACCACTTTTATTATCCATTGCTTTTATTTCTAAGCCGTTCTGTCAGGCCTGTCTCCCCTTAAAACTCTACACAGAAACGATCCTTGGCTCCATTTGTTGAGAAAGGTATAGTTTATTTGAGATCAAGTGTATTGCGCCAGAAGTGATGGTCCTACGTTTCCCTCCCTTTGGGTTCAGGCAAGATGTTTTCCTAACGGTCAGTCCAAGTGCAGGTTGGTACGCAGCCCCCTCCTTCTCCCAGCTGGGTGACCTTGAGGCAGCATCTGGAGGAGATAACAGTTTCCTCAAGTATTCCCTCCCCTTCATCCCCCCTCTCCATAGTTCATGGCGCTCTCTTAACCCCATAGTTGCAAAGCACTAGCACCCATCAGGTGGCCGCTAGCATCCTCTTGCTAAGCGACACCATTGTTACATGAATTTTGCCCCATTTTATGGCCTTTTCTGCCCCATTTGCTAAGTGAATCATGTGGCCGTTAAGTGAACCTCTCTGTTCCCCCATTGACTTTTCTTGTCAGAGGTTGGCTGGGAAGGTCACATGAGCCCCCCACTCCCTGGACGATTCCACTGTCATAATACATGCCAGTTAACCAAGCGCCCGAGTTTCTGATCACGTCATCGTGGGGATATGCTATAATGGTTATAAGTGTGAGAGTTCCAGTCCCACCTTAGAAATGAAAGCTGGTTTGCATGATTTTGGGTCAATCGCCAGGAGACAAGGAGTTCTAGTCCCTCCTTAAATACCAGGCTAGAAGTTGGGTGATGGTGAGTTCAATCACCCAGGAGACGGGGAGTTCTAGTCCCGCCTTAGACATGAATGCCAACTGGGTGACTTTGGGCCAATCACCAGGAGTCGGTGAGTTCTAGTCCCGCCTTAGGCATGAAAGCCAGCTGGGTGACTGTGGGCCAATCACCAGGAGACGGTGAGTTCTAGTCCCGCCTTAGGCATGAAAGCCGGCTGGGTGACTGTGGGCCAATCACCAGGAGACGGTGAGTTCTAGTCCCGCCTTAGGCATGAAAGCTGGCTGGGTGACTGTGGGCCAATCACCAGGAGACGTTGAATTCTAGTCCCGCCTTAGGCATGAAAGCCGGCTGGGTGACTGTGGGCCAATCACCAGGAGTCGGTGAGTTCTAGTCCCGCCTTAGGCGTGAAAGTCGGCTGGGTGACTTTGTGCTAGCCATTCCCTCTCGGCTGACCCTCCTCACAGGGTGGTGGTTGTGTTCTGCTTAGCTAGCAGCATAAAAATCTAATAAATAAATTAGATGTACTGCAGTTGGAATTAATGAAGGAAAATGATGGTTAAAGGTCTCAA